GTCGCTCGTGCGAGGCGCGTCCACTGCTGGGGCCGCCGCGTGCCCCGCGCGTGCCGCCTCGCCCTGCCCCGGCCTGAGCGCGGCTCCTTTCCGCTCTTTACTTTTTAAACGCGAGAAGTCAGCCCCGACGGCGAGCATCGGAATTGTTTGGTTTCCTCTAGGGTCTGGGGGTGCGGGTGGAAGCCAGATTGGAACTGGACTAACACTTTCCCATACTGTCGAGTCCTAGGTGCATGTAAATGACGTTGGCGTTCCAGAGTTGAGGGAAGCACCCGCACAGCCAGTTTGACAGTTTAGTTCCCTGGAAAGTTAAATTGTAAAGTTGTTTAAGTGTACCTCTAAGACTTTTTGATCGCCATTTTAATCGCCTATGAAGGACTCCTTTGGGGGCCTGTTCTGTGTATATTGTAACTTAATAACTCATTAACATAGTGCTTTACATGGGCTTTAATTTCTCATTTATTGAGTGCTCAAGTGTGATGGTAATTATTCATTTAATGGGTTAGCAGTCGCTGAGAAAGAGTGCGAATAGGAGCCCTCAGAGATAGGTTATTTAAGTTAGTGAAACTGTCCTGAGTCTTGGGGACGTAGACAGCTTGTGTTGGCCAGTGTCCCCGAAGCTCCAACCCATAGTTGTTGGATTGTGTGTATTTAAAGAATTCAGATAGCCAGTTTTTGCAGGAAATACCCAGACTTTTAAATAGCACCCCCCCCCCGCCCTTTTTTCTTTAAAATTTACACACCGTCGAGGTCCAGGAATGAGTTGATGTGGTCTGTGGCTACCGGTGTGCTGTCTGGGTCAGAGACCGACCCACCTCGGTTTGCACACCGTGAAGGAGGGAATTTCTTGCCTCTGCCCCACTGCGCCTTGCTGGTTCCTACCTGCTGCTACCGCTGCCCTGAGCCTCCATTCAGATGCCCGAGCTTGAAGCTTGAACCGTAGCTGTCTGGCGGGTTTTCTGGGGGATGTGGTTCTCAGCCTGAGCTCCATGGACCATGGTGGGGCGGTGTGCTTCCGGGAGGAAAAGTTTATGGTAACAGTGCCTCTTTCGTCTTCTGTCAGTAGACGTTCAGCTGAAAGAAGCTAAAAACCGTGCTACAGGTTTGTCATGTAACACTTTAGTAAACAGTTGTAGATTCCTTAGGTGCCGCTTGACCAGGGAGATGCGGGTACTATGGCCAAGTATCTTTCCCATGCTTGCGTGGGAGCTTCCCCATGCCACCTGCTGCCCCAAGCTTTTTTAGTGAAGCCCAGCAGCGGGATGAGATTTGTAATGACAGTAAGCATCAGGGTTTGTTTTTTAATTTTTCCGGAATAGATATTCAGGTGTGTGGTTTTATTAGCAGATTGATTTCTTCTCTCTCCCTGCTTTTGATGTCTTTAATTATTTCATTCTCCTTCAGCTCTCATTAGATGGGGAAATCAAGAGGATTAGTCTAACTTTTAGATGTCAACTCTTGAACCTAAGTCTTAAGCTTTGAGCTTCCTAGCCTAGTTCATTTTTCTCAATCAGCGGTACTGTATGGGTCGTGTGATGATACCTTTTGGCCTGTAATGTTTTCTCATGGTCTAGATAAACTGCACCTCATGTGAACATGTGCAGCTCAATAGTTGGAGTGTAAATTTAAATAACGTAACATTCTTTTAAAATCTGTTTTTTAGTCATTGGCGGCAAGGCCTTTTTTTCCACCCAGATAGAATCAATTAAAGTGTTTCAAATGGAAATGTGCAGCCTAAGAAGACTGTAGCTGTTTTAAAGATATTCCGTGGAGTCATTTTTAATACATTTACTGGAAAGTAGTTATGAATACAAATCATCGCCCATCCCTTGCATTATTCAGCCTGTCTCCTGAATTACGTACAGGGCTGTGACTCTTTGAAGGCCAGGAGGGATGGCTTGTTTCCTAGCAGCACAGGTTACTCTGATTCTTTTCCAGCAAGCTCATTGTGTTTCACAAGGAAGAGAAGTAGGACATAAACCACATGGGCAAGCTATTTTCTAAAGCTCATTGTGGTTTGACTTTTTGTTCAGCTCCTTTGAGAACTGTGGTTGGCTGGTGTCTCTCAGACAAGCCCCCAGGACAGCTCACAGGATAATTTGGGGTCACATTTGAAGAGGTCTTATATTTGGCCAGAGAGTTGATTTTTCTGGAAACTCTCGCCCCGCTCCTAGCAGGTCTGCTAATGCTTTATCTCCTGCTCACCCTACTGCCAGCATTTGACTCCTGCTGTGTCTGCTTGTCCTTAGCTTGGTTCTCCAGAACATGGTTGGTGACTTTTCATTCTGCTTGAGGGTGGGACAAGACTTAAGTCGGGCTCACAGCTGGGTGTGGGGAATATTCTGTTTGAAGTCCTGTGAAGTTGAAGGCAAAATTTGTGTTTGTTTCTGGGTCAAGATAAAGAAAGTTGTGAATTCTCAAAAGGGTTGTAAGCCTTCCCAGGTGTTCAACCATTGTCGTAGGGTGTCGCTAAGCATACTACTGTGCAATGTTTTCTGTCCCACCCCAAGCTCCTAGGGTACAGAGTAGGGCTAAGTTTTGCACGGCGGAAAACAGCAGTTCCATTTCTTTTCCCATGTGATGGAGGAGAAAGCCTGCTTCAGGGATCAGAGCGAGGATGTGTCTAGGAATCAAATGTCCGTGCTGAGGGTGACTGTGTTGTCCCTACATACATGCCCCTGGAAGTCACGTGGAGCCGCGTGAGCCAGTCGTGGAAAGTCCACTTGCAAGAGGAGGGTGGAATTTGGCCTGCGTGCCGGTACTTTCCTGCGTTTACTGTGTTGTTCACCCCTTTCTGCAGCCACTCAGCGGTGGAGGAGGGCTGGGTTGAGTGGTCTTGGCTTTTCCTGCGTCTGTGTGGGAAGATGTGTCCCTGTCAGACTGGTTGATTGTGTCACCCACACTGCCTGCGCCATTAGTCTAGGACAGGCCAATTTGAGCAGGAACTGCAGGGCTCAAGTGCAGAGAGCTGAAGAAAGCCATACTCAGTTCTTTTAGACAACTAAGGGCCTCTTGGTATAAAGGTTCATAATGGAGATTAAAATTCTGTCCTGTTAGCTTTGTGTGTATCTATTGGGATTTTTTTACATCTTTGCTTTCATCAAAAATTGGAAAATTATTTCCACAGAAATGTCTTCTGCTTCACCAAGGTCTTCTTTTCACTTTCAGCTTTTGCTCTTAGAAATAGTATGACTGTGTCTTTAGAATACTGAGGAAAAAGTCTTCAAAAACTTGTTAGTAAAAAATGAAAAAGAACTAGTCATTATGGAGGTCTTTGAAGAAAGCACCAGTTACCGGTTATAATTTAGTATACAGTATCATATAGCTTATTCAGTGTGGTATATTATCTTAATATTAAAGTATTTCATCTCTAACTTACGAGAAATAGGTTTAGTGGGAACTTGAAAATATGTTTTAAAATAATGGCATAGTGCATTAATAAAAATACACTTTTTAATAATGGCATAAATTAATTTTCCAGCTAGAAATTATTATTTTGGCTCTGAAATTTAATTCAACAATGTAATTGTGACTCACACACCAGGAAATTGAGTCACTGATAAGAATGTCTTTTTGCTTTTCTAGCTGTGTTTATATTTTCTAGAAGAAAACTTGTGGCAATCGTCTGGGGCCTTGGGCTTCAGTGGCCTGTTTTTTTCTTTTTCCAGTGTGGACACCTTCCCACCCCCAGCCTAGCACGCAAAGTTATCCTTTCTGGAGTTGTTCAGCTCCTCCTTTGCTTTATCTTGTAATATCCCTTTTTCTTTCATTATTTGACTGTCTTTCCTTCCCATAACAAAAATTCAAACCAAACCTCTGTTCTACATTCTCACCTTTAAGTATAATTTCATTTTGTCATTATTTTCAGCTTTAATATTTTGATACTTAAAACTTAAGGCAAAAGTTTGAAATATTTTTAAAACAAAATTTTATTTTTCTTCTTCTTTTCTTACAGTAGATAGATAAATTTTTCCTTCTGTTCAATGCCTGAAGGGTCATTTATAATTTCCACATGTCCTTAGTGGTCAAGGAAGTTAACAAATATTCTTGCACAGGCTCTGAGTGAAATCCACTTGTGGGGAAAGTAATTTGCATAATTTGCATATACTGTAGGCCTTTTATTCATCAGTTTCTCCTTTGCTTCTTTTGTGTACTGTATTCTGAATCACAGCTTTTTATTCCCAGTAATCTCTTTCAGTCCTGTCTTCTCTTTACATTGAGTTCTCCTGTTTGTCTCATTTCCTTCTCTTCCTTTTGGCCTTTGTGGGAATTAGTTTCTGTGAGTGGGACGGTGCCTGTGTGGAGACCCTCCTCAGGGCACGGGTGTCGTGATTCTGTTTTCGTAGATTAAAGAGCAAGGGGACCAAAGCGGAGCCAAACTCGGGGGCAGAGCAGCCACAGCATTCACTTGCAGCGCTGTTTTTGTCAAGCGTCTGTATAGACTGTAAGCGCTGGAAGAGGAAGCATAGCTCAGAGATCTCCTCTGGTCTTCTCACTCCGCAGATGAGAAAACTGAGGGCAGGATTGAGGAAGTGCCTTGCCCAGAGACAACTTTTGCTAATATTAAGAGAGTGGTTTGCTTAGGTGACTGTTTTTTTTTTTTTTTTTTTAGAAGATGAGAACTTCTCTCATTGATAAAGCTAGGAAGGAGGCTGAAAGATGTGCAGAGAGAAGAATGAACCTTTTCTGCTGTTTATTCTCTCACCCCTCACATCATTAATCCAGTCCACCATTTATTGAGAAAGAAAAAATAGAATGAAAAGTACTGTAACCCTTGGGGGCTGGGGATGCACCTCAGTGGTGGAGTACTTGCCTGGTATGCGAGAGGCCCTGGATTCCTTCCCCAGGGATGCCCCCACCTCGCTGGCTCATTGTTTATTAATACTCTCCTCCAATGAATATACATGAGAGTTAGTAAGCATAGCTAACCTGCAGCACACTAGTTATTTTTCATGTGCCTGTTTCTCTCAGCAGTTCTGGGAGGTGATAGTAATACTCTGACAGTCCTTTTTACAGGTGGTTTGACTTTGGCGCTGAGAGGTGTCATTCCTCTGGTAACTGCTGTCCTCATAGCTAGCAAGGGCTGGGGTGAGAGTGGTTAAACTGAGAGTCTAATGCTGGGTTCCGGGCTCAGGCTGTTGCTCTCTGCAGAGGTCTCGCCCACACAGCAGGCCTTGGGCTGGGTTAGGCAAGAGGCAGGGAGGGCGTGGAACTGGCAGAAGAGAAGACACGTGGAGCACATCACAGGCGCAGGGGAACAGCGTCAGTGTTGGGCAGGAGTTTGGACTGAATGTGCTAAATCATAGGTGAATAAGGCAATTCAGGCCAGAGTTGACTGGTGGCGGACGTACGGATGCTGGCACTGGTTCCCAAGTGTTCAGGTACATTGAAAGGTTTCAGCAGGGGCATGTGAGATTCTCACCTCTCCCAGCACCCCTTCCTGTTACTCTTTCTTCTTTCTCCTAGTTGTACCGGGCTGTAAGGAGAGCTGGGTAGTCAGGGAATTGGAGGTGGGGTGCCTCAATCACTGACTTTATTCCTTCTGTTTTTAGCCTGACAGGCTCCCCCTCCTTGTGTGCTTTTGTGTCTGGAGGGACCCCACGTTGTGTGAGCACGCCTTACGCGGATGTCAGCTAGTCTCCTTGTTTTTAGCTCAGGCTACCATCAGAAGGACTTAGAGCCTCCAGTTCCTCAGCCTTTCTGGGGTTCTGCTGGGCTCGCTCGCTTGCCTTCCGCAGCCGCCCCTCCACCAGCCCTGTGCCTCCTGGCCTGACCTATTTACCACTCTGCTTTCCTTTTGGGCTTTCACAGGGCTTCTGCTTTCAGCGGAGATAGAGTTGATGTTTTCCTTCATTGTCATTTTGGGGTGAATCTTGAGAAAAAGAGGCATCTTCAAACATGAGGTCCTGCTGTTCATCTTTGTCTCGCACCCAGTAGGATGTTCTACCTTTCTAGCGCTCCTGTTAGCCCCTTCAGGCAACTACAGACACTCAGGAAAGCTGCTACGTGTTGAAGAAGTCAGTAGCAACTACAGCACGTGGGACCGTCGAATGTGAAGGTTAGGGAACAGGAGTAACCTCATGGGGATCTTCAGCGTTGGAAACTTGTAATAATTGATGCTACTTCTTCTTGATTTAGAATAGCTATTGCCGAATTTGCTGTGACGTGTAATAAAAGTTGGCAGCTGTCCTACGTTCCTCCATGATTCCCATCCTTGGAACTTGACAGAATAAGGAGTTTCATTGATAAGATTTGTGCTAAGATGTCTAGACATATAACTGGTACATTAATAGATGTTAATTAAATGGCCTTAGAGCCATGTAGACAGTGGAATGATACAAATTGAATCATTTTAAGTAACTTCTGAAGTGGAAAAGTGGTGCATGTAAGTGGAAACATGAGCATCTAGGATAGATCCGTGTTTTGTAATTATCACCATGTAATGTGAGAAGTTAGACTGTGAGCGTCTTATACATTTGTAAGTGCTGTTTATTGTGATGCAACAGAAAATGTTGGTGCCACAGTGTTTGAAAATGTCTACTTTGGTGTGATTTCAGCGAGGAGGACATATACCGTGCTGCAGATGAAATAGAAAAGGAGAAAGAATTGCTTGTACATGAAAGAGGGGCATCAGGTATGTTCAGAATTGTTTTCTTTATAGAGTTTTTACTGTTTAAAGTAGACAAGCAGTTAAGTCCATGTATCTGTTTTCATAAAATGTGAATGTACTTCCTAGGAAAGATTCCTTATAGTTACTGATTTTGCTTAAGAGGAAGACTCCTGTTTCCTGAGGTTTTAAAGTTTTCATTATTCTTTGTATTCTTCGCATTCATGTTTTGTACCTGTGAGGATAGTTTTAATCTCTTAGCACTACTGCCCCTCAGTTCTTGATTTCTTTACATTCTTAGACGGAGAGTTTGAATTTGAAGTGCAGTTTTCATTCTCAGTTGAAGGACTTATTGAGAAGCTCTCTGTGCACATCTTTGGATGCAGATGACCCCTCGAATCTGATTGACTAAAGAGAATGATCAGAGCTCTAGAGCACTGTTTGTTGCTTTTGTGATTCCACATCCTCCACGCTTGTCCGTGGGAGCTGCTCTTCCCACCGCGCCAGGCCCGTGCAGGGGTGAGGCAGTCCTCCTCCTGCCCTGCTGGTCCTGGGAGAGGCGGCCTGCAGGGCTGTGAGTGAAGCACATCCTTCACAGTAACCCCAGGAGCCGAGGGGTGCTGCACAGATAACGTGCAGTGGCATTTTCTTTCAGTAGCTGTGCAGTGTACATGTTCTCCTGGTTTGTTTTGAGAACTGGCTTCTGTTCATTTATGGTTAACAAAGTGTTACTGTGATTAGAAATAAATGGAATGCAGTAAGACTTTTGATAATATTTTCCAGTCTTCCTCAGAGGGAATTAGTGACTTCCACCTTGTGGTGTCCCCAGGAGATGCTCTTTGTGGTAGTCCTGGTGCACTCCTGGGCCTCAAAGAAACCCTCCGCTCTCCACTGCTGGGATCGCCCCCAGTCACTCACCTCACGGGGCCCTGACCTTGGGAACACATGCGCATTGAGCCGTCGTTACTGCTGGGGATCCCCGCTTCCTCTTTCGCTTGCCAGGCTCTGTTGATTCTCTGTCCAGCGCGCTGCCGCACACAAGCGTTCAAGCTCTTCAGTGGCCCTTGTATCTCGGCTTTAGTACGAGAGTAGAGTGGATCCCTCCCACTCCGTGAGTCCCAGCTCTGCGTTCACTGTCCTTCCTAAAACAGCCTCCTGGGGCAGCCTGCGCGTAGACTGAGGCAGAAAGGGTTGTTAGCCTCTCTTGAGGAGAAAACTTTCTCACCTATGCAGCGGTCTGAACACCATGTTTTGAGGCTGAACCTGACCTGCAAGCTTCTGAGCTGAGTTCCTGTCTTTGGCGGCTTTTGTGCATGCAGTTGAGCAGTTGTGACAGAAACCGCAAGGTTCTTAAAGCTTACATTATCCCCTCTGCCCCGGTGCGGCAGTAGTGTGAGAGTCCTGCTGCGGTCTCTCCTCTGAGAGTCCCAGCCTCCCAGAGGGGCTTTAATTTTCTGCCTTCTGGGGGTCTGATCCTTGTGTTTGTCCTTTATCTGGTTGTTAAGGGCCAAGCTCCTTGCTTATTTCAGCTGCATTGTGTGCCAGTCTGGTGTTCACCTTCCCTTATTTATATCTGTGCTTTGCCATCAGATACATTCTTTGTGAGAAACAGAAATGAGAGCCTGCAATTCATAGTCAAAGAAAGGGACTGCTGCCCGCGGTGAGCTGCTGGTCTCCCCTCCTGCTCCCAGCCTGGCCAGGCGCATAGCATCAGCTGGAGTCCCCCTCCCAGAGAGCAGGGCCCAAATGGGAATTCGGGCAACATTGTGATGCTGCCAGCTATGCCAGCACCCGGTTTTCCCGTCCCTTGCTCCTCAGGCTGGCTCTGACTCAGTGAGACACTGGCCTGCGGCTTGACCTCTTGCGTGTGTGAGGCCGCCGCCTCTCCTCCCTCAGGCCAGGTCTTGGGTGTGTGCGCGTGTGCACACTCGCACACATGTGTTGGGCAGCGGAGGGGAGCAGGAGGCGTGTCCTTACTATGCACATTTATGCTTCTCCTTGGCTTGGGGGGAGGTAAGTGGAAAGGCAGATATAAGGAACTCCTCTGTGCACGAAGCAGACCCAAAATGGTTCTTGAATTTAAGAGATGCAGAGCCTTTAAGGGTTGGTTGTGCAGCACTGGTATAGGCGGCGTCTATATATTATACCTCAGGGGTCTGTTTGACTTTTAAGCTAACCCTAATGAATGTACAGTTTTCCCTTTTATGGAAAGGTTCATTTTCCTTATGAAAGGATTCGCAGTGAGATTTTTTAAAGTAGCCTTTTTTTTGGTCTTTTTGAGATGGGGTTTCATTATGCAGTTTAGGCTGGCCTCAAACCCATTTTGTAGCCCAGGCCGGCCTAAAACGTAAAGCAATTCTCTTGTCTGAGGCTCCGTGTGCTGGGATCACAGCATGCGCCACCACGCCCGACTGAAAGTAGGCAGTTCCTGTACTTTGCTTTAAAAAATGCTTGATTTACGTAAGCTGTAGGGAGGGTTTCTGGATGACGGGTGTGCCCTGCCCATCCTGCATCCCAGGTGCCTGTGGTCTTGGTCAGTAGTAGTGAGGCCCTGCAGGGCAGAATCTCTGTCTTCACTGCCTTCAGAGCTCCAGCTCCTAGCTCAGGGTCTGCCATACACCAGACATACTCCGTAAATATTTGTTGAATTGAGCTCAAAAAACATTTTTATGTGCAACTTCCTCAGTAAATAGGTTGTGAACGACTTCCAGCTTTATGTCCCACAGTCTTCACTAACACCCTATCTCCAATAATTTACAAAGGAAGTCAGGAGGTACCCAGGGTTTATTTCATTTTCTTCATTTGTTCTCTGAAATACACATGCTAGCATGGTATGTGTGTGTACACATATACCACAAAAATAGGTTAAACCCCCAAATACAAGCTAAACAAGGAATATCTAAAAACCTTTTTTCCTTGTAAAATCTGTAATAACTATGTTTGACCCGAGTTGTATTTATAATTTAGGGTAATGTGATGTTAGAGTGAATGAAATCTATGCATCAGCTAACAGTGAGAGCTTTGTTAGTTTTCATGAATTGTGAAACAAATTATAGCCTTTTGGGATCAGGGCAGGATATATATAAATTATAGACAGTTAAATGTGTTTTTGTTATAGTTAACCCTTTGTAGAGAAGATACAGATCCCTAATTACAAGTTGATAGGAGCGCTTTCTCACAGATGAGACTGTTGTGTTTTTGCTGAGGGAAGCCTTTGTAGACACTTGTGGGTCAGGATGGCTCAGGTTCTGAGGACTCGGAAACAAAACAAAGCCGCTGCCCTCAAGGAGCCCCTGTTTTACTGTGTTTGTGTATGGTTGTGTGTGTGTGTGTGTGTGTGTGTGTGTGTGTGTGTGTAGGGGGGTTACGGAAAAACGTATCTCAGGTGTTGATAGACACTGAGAAGAAGAAATGATGTGAGAGGAATAAAGGATCGTGTGTGATAACATCAGGGCACACAGGCGGCCTGCGTGGAGGAGGGAGCAGCCCTGCGGGGTGGGGGCAGGCTGGTCCAGAGTGTTGGAGAGGACCGGGGAGGGCTGCGGGGACTTGGGGTATCTGGGGTGTGAGTCAGGTGTGGCTTTCTCTCACAAGAGGTGTGGGACAGGAGGCCCCTAGGGCTCTCTGAGCCCAGGAGAGAGCACTGTCGTCTGACTCAGGATTTAGCTGGACATCACTCGCTGGCAGCAGTGCGGAGAGTGGTCTGGAGGAAGTGGTGGCACAGGGGACCCATTGAGACACAAGGCCCTTCTCCTGGGTGCAGTGGTGGCGTCTGCACTAGCAGGCAGGCAGCAGGGGAATTCTGGGTTTTTTAAATGAAGTGAGAGAGCATGAGGTGTGAAGGGTGAGCCCTAAGTAAAGCAGTGCCATTATTTTGATCATGCTTTGGTTCGTTACCTCTTTTGTTTTCATTTTTGATTCTTTAACAGAAAACAGACTAAGTGTGGCTCCTGAGATGGACATAATGGACTACTGCAAAAAGGAGTGGAGGAGCAATACCCAGAAAGCCACGTGCATGAAAAAGGTACAGCCGAGGTGCACATGTTTCAGGTCTTCGGAATAGTCTGTCAAAGTTACATGTCATTTTATATTTTTAGATGTTGGTTAAGGCTACTGGTACTGGACTTTGTTCTAATTTTAGAGATGAGGAAAGTGACTCTAAAGGTAAGGGACTTGTTTGAAGTCATAGTATTAATATAGAGCCAGCATCAGTTATTCAGTAACTTACTTTCTTTGAAAAATGCTTAAATGCCAGCACTGCTCAGAGTTGGGCTCGCCAGTGGCGGTCCTTTTGGGACCATTTGGGAGCGCCTCTCTCAGCCTGCTGGGGTCCCAGGACTGTTCCTTTTCAGTTTCACTACACAGAGTGGCAGTGTGTAGGGTTGTAAGGTCATCTCTGACACTGTGGGACGGTGTCAGAGGCTCCCATGATAGGGTCTTGCTGCCTCAGACACCTCAGCCGCCCTACAGTACACCGGATGGAGCAGCAGGGCCTCTGGACTCTACCCTTAGGATGCACCCGGTCCATGCTGCCTTAGTAGGCCGAAACATGGGGAGTTGCTACTGCTGTTTGACCCTTCTGAGACTACGAAAGTAGCTGTTAACCTAAAATCTTTGACTACCGCTTATGACCTCTGGATTGTATCTTTTGTGTTTTTTATCTTGGTTGTTTACATTATGAATTTGCATGCATATCTTATCTACTAGAGATAGTTTCCCCAACTATGATAGCGTCTCATAAGCTCTTCTAACTTCCAAACTAGATAACCAGAAAGCCAGGTACTAAAACAATATTTTTAAATCTTTCCAAGAAATGCTTTCACCAACCTATAGTTTTATTTTATGGCCTGGGTCTCTTTAAATAATGGATTTAAAATAGTTGGCATTTTAAATTTCAATACTAAATTACATCTTTCGTATTTTGAAAGTCTTGCTAAAATCATTTTTCTCTGGGATCAGATCCATTAAAGCTTGGAGCCTGTAGCTGGCGTCTTTCAGTAACCCAATAACTAAAGCATCTCAGTGGGAGAAGCATCTTGTCAGGACCTGTGGCATGGTTTGAGTGTCTCAGCGCCTGGGAACAGCTTCGGTCTGTTTTTAGTTTGTCTAATTGTCACTGATATTGTTTTAATATTCTTTTGGACATATGTGAGTGTGTGTAAATCCTATAATTTAAAAAAGCTTGATTCATCTCTGAAGTAGCATTTTTTTAATGCAGATACCTAATTTATGTATTTAAAAAGGTGCGCCTGTATTGAATTCACTGTTTTAAGTATTCACAGGATAATTAGGGACCCACCAGAGGGAACAGGTGGATATTAGTAGGTCTGCGGCTCCTTGACTACCCGTTGTGTGTGGGAGTGGTTGGACTACAAAATACAAATGGAGCTCTTCAGAATTTTATTATTGGAAAGGCGTACTTTCATGTTCATGCTAGAACATCGTCCGGTGACACAGACTTTGAAAATGACTAGTGTGAGGTTGAGGTGCTCTGCATTGTGCATGCTCCACGCGACGCTCCTTCCTTGGTGTAAGTGCAGGGTGTGTGGAAGGCCTGACTGGGCCAGGGAGAGGCGGTCAGTCCCAGGAGGAGCTGCATTCAGCTGGAGAGATGAGCGTCATGCGTGCCTGTGGGCCAGAGTGGCAGGGCTTCTGTGGGGTCTTTTTTCAGAATGGTCCATGTAGATAGCTATTTTTGAGTGGCCAGCCAGTCACTGACCTTTTATGTTTCTTTGTTTTACTTCCGGACAGAGCAAGAGTAAAACTTCAATCCACTTTTAGAAAAAGCAACGGAATTATCTGGACATTTTCTAGCTTGTAGACTTTTTACACGTACACAGTAATGTGCCACGTAATGTTGTTATCAACAGACCACGTGTATAGTGATGGTCCTGTAAAATTATTATGGAGCTGAAATATTTCCATTGCCTACTGATGCAGCCATGGTTGTATTGTGATGCAACATATTACTCAGATATTTGTGGTGATGCTCATGTAAACAAGCCTTCTGTACTGCCTGCCAGTCATATAAAAATGGAGCACTAACATTATTTACAGTATATAGTACTTAATAACAGATGACTTCTGTGTTATGTTTTTGCTATTTTTGTCATATTTTAGAGTGCTTACTGTAAAGCAGTACGCAGTGTTACGCTGGCAGCAGCCTCATACAGCTCATATTTACGTTGTCTTTTGATTGCCTGATTTTCTTTTGTGCTTGATTTAATCTCGTGATGTTCTGTTCATCATGGCTTTTAGGTATACACCGCTACCAGTTCCCAGGACGTCATATGACCTAGCCATATGGGTAGCTGTGCCATCGAGGGTGTACAAGTATACTCTGATGCTTGCACAGGGGTGATATTGCTAACTCTGCACTTCTCAGAATGTATTCTTATTACCCTTGAGGCATAAGCCTGGGTCCAGTGGACCCATCCTGTACTTTCCTACTGTAAATTTATACTTTAGTATTATAGTAGCCAGCTGTGCATCTAAGTATCTTTCCCTGAGGGATGCAGGAAGCAATCTATGTGTTTACCCACTTGGTATGACAAATGGCAAGGATTGTGCACATGTACAAAAGTGTCAAAATGGGATTTAGACCCACCTTTATGCTTTGTCTAACTGGGTTTGTGTATGTTTACCCAAGCATCACAGAGGGTCCAGTGGATGCATACCACTCCAGGATTTGTTAAGAAAAAGTTTTCTTCTGATTTTTCTGGTAGAAGTAGTGCAGTTCAGTATAAAAACCAGATTTGAAATTTTGGAGGAGGTCAGAAGTGAATCATCTGGCTGGGTGTGGTGGTGCATGCCTGAATCTCAACACTCAGGAGGCTGAGGCAGGAGGACGGCTGCGAGATCAAGGCCAGCCTGGGCTACAAAATGAGTTCAAGGCAAGCCTGAACTGCATAATGAAACCCTGTCTCAAAAAAAAAAAAAAAAAAAGAACCATCAGATTACTCATGCATGGATGATAAAGATGGTAAAATACGTGCTTTTTACAGAAGAGTGGCGTGGGTGTGATGATGATGATGACAGTGATGATGATTATACAGTGCTGATGCTGACTTTGATGTTGGCCATGTTAGCCAGTTTCTGTGACAGTGAGTGGAACAAGAATTGACTGATCACAGACACAGGGCATGCAGACCCCCTTGATTCAGATGGTGAAGAAAGCCGCAATGTGAGTACATATTTGACTAGTTGAAATATTGCAAAATGGCCATGCAACCAAGTGGAATGATCCAATATTAGAATGAGGTCTGAAAATATAATGAAGGTCTTGGCAGGGGTGAAATGTATTAGACAGAATGTCTGCACTGCTATTCAGCGTTGGCAATTGTAACAGAAGAAATGCTGGAAGGTGCTGTGTAATACATAAAGACTGAAATGCAAGTAAAAAGTTCTGTATGCAGCAATAGCCATATTAAAAAACGTATGTATTGTGACACCTCACCAGCTCAGGTGAAAGCATTCACGGGTCTGCTGTACTTAGCACAGATTTTTCACGGTGACTGTAGGAATGCAAAAGACTTACAGAAAAGCGATGGCTCAAAACATGGGATAAAAATTTATGCCTTACAGATGCGAAGACTTTCTGTTCTTTTAGTTTAGACATTTACCCTGGAACTCAGCCATCAAGTGATTATCCCTAGAGTAATAACCAAATGGTGCTGTGAACAGACTTGTTGCTCCTGTTGCCCAGACTAATCAGAAGGTGACATTTGGCAGGTGGTTCACCAGTTTCCAGTTGACGTTACATTTGCTAACCGAGCACAAATGGAACAGAGCCGGAACTATATGAAAGAACGAAGCAGAAATTCCAAATGCAATGTGGCAATTTCAAAACAGAATTGTACAGTACAGTCTTTGAATTTCAGAAGGATATAACGTTGGACTTGTATATGGCAAAAAAGCAAACTGGTCCTGCGGATGCCAACAGTGTGCCATGGTGGAAATACTGATAGGGAAACATGGACAAAACACAAGCCTGAGATGGCAGCTTTCAACATCAAAACCAAAGGTGGAATAGATGTCGATGAGTTATGCAGCGACTGTGATGTCACTTGAAACACAAAGCATTGGCCGGTGGTTGTGTTTTACTCAACTTTACAATAGTGTGGCATCAATACTTCGATAGTTTACAAAGAAAATAGCAAGTGCAAAATATCAGAGAAACTTTCTTAAAGGATTGGGACTGGAACTCATAAGAGATCATTTATAGCAGAGGAAAAACAAAATGTTTTTGCTCAGGGAACTGCCCAAAAAGTTGTGGAGCACACTGGTGAGCTGACAGGTGAACAGGCAGGTGCGGCATCAGAAAGACCTACCACGACAATGGGAAAGCAAAGAAAGATGGGAACTGTTTTCCACAAGAAAGTACAGGAAAAAAAAATACTATCAGTGTAAGCGATACTTGTGTATAGAACATGCCGTTGTCATGTGTGAAGACTGCCATAGGTGTGACAGTTGAAGCAAAGCTTATTTCTGTGGTATTTTTGTTTGTGTTCATATTGTGGTTCACATAGGTGTGTATGTATGTATGTATGTATGTATGTATGTATGTATTTTTTGTCTTTTTGAGACAGGGTCTTGCCATGCAGTTCATGCTGGCCTTGAGCTCACTTTGTAGCCCAGGCTGGCCTCGAACTCACAGTGATCCTCCTGCCTCAGCCTCCCTGTGCTGGGATTACAGGCTTGTGATACCATACCCAGCTAGGTTTTTATTTTTGTTATCGCTTAGGTTTTGTAAGCAAGTAAATAGCTGATGTGAAAATGTTGATGCCTATTCGAAGCACTCATTACATATTGGATATTTTATTTTATTGACATCTTATTTCCCTTCTAAGTGCATGTTGTACAATATAGTAGGAAGCTCCTGACAAAACAGGTAGAGAAGAGAGGTAACAAAACCACCACATAGGAAAGGAAAGCTAAGCACATGTGCTGTCAGTGTAAGCGAGACGTGCATGGAATATGCAATTGTCATGTGTGCAGACTGCTTTGAGTGGGACAGTTGAAACAAAGTGTAATTTTGTGGTAGACTTTTGTGTTTATATTGTATTTCATATATGAATTTGTTTCTGATGGTATCTTTTAGGTTTTATAAGGAAGTACAGAGCTGATGTGAAAATGTTGATGTCTAAACATGTAATACATTTTAATATAACAATTTATTTTATAGATATTTTATATTCCTGTTAGCTACACATTGTGTAATATAATAAGAACCTCCTGACAAAACAGCAAGACCACTGAGATGTCAAGTATGTCCTACAAAAAGGCCAGGAAGGCAGAAGACATGTTGTTAGTGTCAGTGATGCATGTGTATGGAATGTGCTGCTGTCATGTGTGCAGATGGCCTTTGGTGTGATAATTGAAGTAAAGATTTGCTTTTTGTAGAGTGGTATTGGTATTTTCATTGTCATTCACATGGGAATTTATTTCTGATGTTCTTTTTTGGATGTTGTACACCAAAAACCAGTCTGTGTTGAAAATTTTGATGTTTTTTATGAACACTCAATAAATATTAAAAATTCAATACTTTATTTCTGTGATTTCTTTTCCTGCTAAGTACTCATTGTTTAATATGATAAAACTCATAAAATTATAATGAATTCATCAGTAGAAAATTTCTAAAGAATAACCGTGGGTCTGACAGATCCACATCTATGTGCTTTGATGACAAAAATCACCTTACACTCCAAGGGCTAAGATATGTGTATATCTGTACATATATGCCGTAGACTTGGGGTTTTCATGTATTTTTTAAAATGGAGATATAAAGTCAGTATATCTTTTTTTTCTATTCTCTTCATTAAGTGAATTTGGGATTGATTTAAACACAGGTTAAACCTTCGTTTAAAATGTTATCAGTGAGCAAGTATTCCAGAAGTTGCTAAAAAGGGCCACTGGACATCCAACTTTCGGGTTGCTCCTGCCTGAGTACTGTTACTACTTTGGGTCGTGTCTGTTGCATTTCTTACATATGCTGTACTTAATACAGTTGTAACTCTTTGAAATAAAGGGAATAATGAAAAAGAATTGGAATGTTTTACATGAAGGACTCTGCTAGCCTTGTTTTCATTTTTCCGGTGGTCTGGGGTAAATTTTTTCCGCAGGAATGGGACTGTTACTACTGCCCGAAGTTCGTAAGCACGATTTTGAATTCTTTGCTATTTCTCCGAGGGCTATGAGGCGGTGTCTCAGAAGTTCACCTCCATCCGGCGCGTCCGCGGTGATAATTACTGCGCGCTGAGGGCCACGCTGTTCCAGGCGATGAGCCAGCCGGCGGAGCTGCCCCCCTGGCTGCAGGACCCCGACCTCACGCTGGTACGCTGCTGCTGCTCCACAGGTTTGCGCTTGCTCGCAGCGGTCCGAGGGCTTTGTGAGAAGATCCCCTTTTGTGCTTACGTTGCCTGCTGGGGCTGTCTGCAGTGTGATGTCAGCATATGGCTTTATTCAGGTCATGTGTCCGGGATGATTTCACATAGTAGAGTGACCAGAAGGGATTGGTATTTCATGAAGAGAGAAATGGTAAGACTTAAGCAGTTCTGCTGAGTTAGAAACCAGATGTTTAGAGTTTCTGAAAAGGACTTAGGAACAGTTTGACTTAAGTCTTGATGTTTTCATTAAGTGCTGTACATTTTACTATTTGAGAACCTGCCAGATTTTTACAGTCCACATTTCTCTGGTTCTAGCTGTAGTTAAAAAATTAGTACTTTCTGCATAGTGAGGAGATTAGCATCACGTAGAGAGAAGCCTCACAGGCCTTCTAAATCTACCATCAAATAGACATACACTGGGATCCATGTGTCCTGACACAAATAAGCTCACGTGATAGGTTGAATTATATAGAGTATCCTGAAAGATTTTGGTGTGCAGGAATGATTGGTCAGACTGACAGTGTGACCGTAATTGGAAAGAAATCTGTAAAGTGTTCTGCTAAGAAAAAAATCACCCTCAACCCCGAAGAGCTAGCTGTGGGAGATTTGCCCAAAAGTGACCTGTGAAAGGAAAAAAGGTGCCAGGATTCTAATTGTAAGCCACTGTATGTCCTCACGGCCTCACTGATGGCCGGCAGTGGTAATAGCCCTGGCTGTGTTCTAAGAGGAACGTTCCTAAGAATCAGGAGGTGACAGGCCCCCTCTGAACCGGCTGGTCACAGCCTGTCGTGAGGACTGAGGTGAGCTCTGTGTATGCGTCCTCAGTAGCACATGAGTGTGAGCAAGACGATTCGTCTCATTCCAGGGGCAGTTGAGGAGCCAGAGTGTTCACCTGCGATGAAAAGGACTTTTATGAACTGATGAGAACAGATACTGCACTTGATCTTAGCCAAAAGACTGAGGAGCAGTACAGAGAGAACTTTGAAAGGAAACTTATTTTTGGTTAAACTTTCAGATGGACGAGGGACCGTATGGCTCCAGAGGGCAGCACTAGGACTGGTGGTAGGAGGGGACTTACCTTTTCATGTGATTATTTTACACACCAGTGTAAAATCAGAACCCCTATATATAAGCAGTCAAAAGAATGTCTGGGAAGAGCACCTTCTTCTAAGCAAAGATCTTAAAATCTTAAACAGATTTTAGCTTATTTCTTTAATATGAATGCAAAAAAATTGATACATAAGCTGGCCTTTCATAGAATCCTGCAGAAGTGTTGGTCAGCAAAAGCGTGCCATTAGTGGATGTGTAAGACACTAGGGAGGAAAGTAGTGATTTCATTGCCTGTGCTGTGTGTTTTAACTTGTGTGCTGGATGACTACAACTTACTTTATAGATTGTGGCATAAAATTCTCCTCCGTTTAAGGCTGTTTGCCTTTTAAACCTTTAAGGGACTATTTAGATGGATTTGATTGACATCCAATTTAAATTTTTATATTTTTCAGGAAACTGCTACAAATAGTACCCTGACATAATTAAATATATAAGGTACACCCTAAAAAAGTAAGGGACAGTGTCCCTCCTCTTCCACTAGAGCATACATTTGGGTAACCTCATCTGCCATCATAAAAACAGGGGAGGTGGACTGTGTGTAGTCTTTGGTGAATATTAGGAGCGCTTGCTTGTATGACTCATGGGGTTCTACTATGGTTTTCCTGACTGACTGAATAGTGGAGATAGTTCTGAAATTCCCAAGTCTTCTTTGCAGTTTCCTCTCTCTTATGTGTATTTTAGCCAGTGTAGTTTTCTCTTGAGACACAGGTGCAATTAGTTGCTTGCAGTGGTATAATTTTTTCATCTAAGCTTTATTGAATGCCAGAAGGCCAGTGTAAAAGAGAGAAACATATGCCTGCCTGTGAGTTCAGTATTTATGTGTATTGAACTTCAGGCCTGCTGAATGTCTGCTGAAGAAACACCTTGTCTTGTTTTGCTCTCACCACCTAGAATTCTCGTCCTTGCTGGCCCAGCCTGCAGCCGTTTGACATGGTTGGAGCACTTTCCTGAGCCAGTCTGCATTGTTGTTTCATTTCTGAGGCTCAGTAGTGACAGTCACCACCGGCTTCATGTTGGAGGTGGCTGTGGACAGGAAAGGGCACACAAACTTGGCCTGGCTGTGCGCAAACGGGCTGTCCTCCTAGTTGTCCCCACACCCTCTTTGGATGCCATCTGATCGCTGCTATCTCTCTGGCCCCCCCACCGGCTCTTCCTCTGGAAAGCGCATGCTGACAAGAGCTCCCCAAGTGCACCACCTTGATTTGGTACTTGAAACCTGCATTTGCTTATTACAGGTGTCATCCTCCCCATCTTCTGAATGTCCTTTGGTTTCAGGGTGTTAAAGTGATTGTGTGCAACCTTCTCCTTGCCCTGTACTCAGGGGCTGGGACCCTGGCTTTCTGCTTTCTCAGCTTCTCCAGCCTTGCTCTGTTCCCTGAGTGTGAGTTGAGCTCTGCCTTTCCTGCCCTCATAGTTGGCTGCCCCCCACCCCACCTCCTGTCCCTGCCTGGGCTTTCTGGTTTGCCTTTGCCATCCAGAACCCGTTCTGGGGTTGACTAGTCATAGTTAAATCATCTAATCCTGACCCCAGCCTTGGAAATGGCTTGGTTTGGCTATTCTTGAGCACAATGCTCTCTGAGAAGGGGGTGTGCTTTATAGCAGGGGCCCTTTGATTTCCAAGTTTGCTCGAAGCGGGTGGGACCTGTTACAGTGTTTGCTTAGAGCATGATGTCAAAGTTCTGTTTGTGAGTTTGACTTGGGGATGGCACCTTTTTTGCTTTTGCTGTGTGTAGTAATGGTAATTATAGGCATTTGCTAGGGAAAGAAGGCTGTTTTATAGTTCAATCACAAGTGAAATGGCACTAGAGCTACCTACTGGGTTATTAAATGTTTCCAATCATTACTTTCATGTGTAAATCTTGTTTTTTTTTGTCTTAAATCTCCCTTATTCTAACAGAGGTCCTGTTTCTGCTCAGAGGAAAAGAATGACTGTGTGTGTTCTGTGTGTCCTAACCCTGAGAGGATACAAAGTTTATTTGCCTTTTTTCCTGTATAAATAATTCCAGTTCCATTATTCTTTAGTTTCTTTTTCATGTCTGAGTTTTTGGACCTTCTCCAGGATTTTCCCATCTCCTGCAACCAAACGACCCTGAATTGGATAATCACTGTAGCAACAGATTGACCAATGAGTGAAATTAATGACAAAATTAACTCCATGTCTTTGGTGTACACAGATCTTTGGGGTCTCCAAAGTAGTTCGTGGACTGTTGTCCTTGCTGGTTAGACCACCAGACAGTGAGTGTCACAGACGCCCTGCTGGTCTTCCTGGCTGCCCTTTACCTGGTTTCCCAGCTCACATCTGTGGAGCCGGTATTTCCTGCTTGCTCACAGTTCTCCACGTCAGTTGTCATTCCAGCTTGTTACCACTTGAGGGCATGGTAGGTTCTGGTGATGCATCTGAGAGACCAAATTGAGGGCTTTGCAGAACTGCCCACATGTTGTTGAAGTAGAGGACCGTGTGGCACTGAGCTGGGCTTTCATGGCTCCTAAGCAGGTAATCACTTGTCATAAGAAGATGCCGAGGACGTCCCTGTTGAGTGAGTGATACAGGTCGCCATCGCTGTGGTCAGGGTGAAGAGTAATTCATAGCCCTGTTGTGGTTCTGTTTTTTGTAGAGAATGAAACCACCTGAATTTCACATGATTGCCACAGATTGGGAAGGCACAACCAGGATTGCAATTTGAGCCTTAGGTTGCAGTAAAACTGAACGTATGTCTCATTTAAAACTGTCTTTGTAACAGTTAAACAAGTCCAGGTTCCACATAAGACATGTAGGATTTAGTCGTTCTCTAAAGATCTTTTTGATGCAGAGGTGAGCTTTTTTCCTTTCTGAAATTTATAGCAGGGAAGTGACATGCCTGTACCCAGCCCAATTATAAGGTTTCTCTGCCGACACACCCAAGACTGTTGGGAGAGCCTAATTTCCCATGCCATCATTAGTAAGGTTGTGTCTCAGCTTGCCTTTTAAACCCCAGATTCTATTGATAATTAGGGGGAAACAAATGAATACTTGAGGAGTGACGACAGAAGAAAGGAAATTAGCCTCATAGCAGTTCAGCTGTCATGTTTTCATGAGTGAGACTGTCACAGCTCCCTTAATTCCTGCTACTTATTCTCAGTTGTCTTTTTATCTCAGTATGTTTATGAGGCAGTTGAACTAGAAAAGGGTTTCTGTCAAAGTTAAAATTCTTCAGTACAGAGCATGATCAAAAAAGTGGTGAATGTTTAATTTAAAAATGTTTTACGGTAAAAGACACATTGCCACGAAGCCCCCCTTCACGCCTTCCTCCTCACTTTGAACATACCTGTCCCACCGTTCTTGGCACTTTCTGAAGCAGTTCTGGACGTTCTCTTTCGTGAGTGTCTGTAGTGTCCTCTTGGATGAGTGTTTCTGTTGTGGCTGCCTCAGTGTCCTAAATCAACTTAAAATGTTTACTTTTCATGGCATTTTGACCTTGAGGAAGAGCTGGAAGTCCTACTGTTCCAGATCTAGTGAATCAGGTGGATGAGGACGCCCTGTCTTTTTGAGCCTGTCTTTCCGTGGATGGAGGTTGGTGGCAGTGTCGATAGTATTTTGGATCACACCTTTAGACACTCACAACGGAGGAACCTCCCCGATCTGCTTCAGGAGGTGGCAAGAACGGCGGGATGAGTGTGTTCAAAGCAAGGGGAAGTGCTTTGAGAGGAATTCCTGGCAATGTGTCCACTGTAACAAATTTTTAAAAAAATGTACAACATTCACCATATATTTTGATCATCCATTGTATATGTGTTAATACTGTTTAACCCAAAGTTCTTTTTTTCTGCCTCTGTATGTATTTTTTTAAAAATGAGGCATTAGGTTTTATTTTCGTAATCAAGAAAAGAACAGCTTTTGAGCTTATCCTGAACTTGGAAGCACCTGCCTGAGCCATGCATTAGGAGTGTAGGGGGGCTGCCAGTGAGCCCAGAAGCTACTGTTTTATTAGCTCCTGCCCTGGGTCAGCCTCACAATTGCCGGACAGTGTTGCTGGCTATGGCTGTCCTCAGGCTAGACAGTGCCTGTGTATCTCACCCAAAAGTGCCCCTTACTCTAGCAGCCCTCCATGTGGTTCCTGACTTCCAGATGTAGGTTCTCCGCCCTCAGACTGCAGGACAAACTTGCAGGAGCTGAGTCTGGCAATAAAGGTAGGTTTCATAGGGTTCATGGTTTCCTGCAGCTTGGATTGCCTATGGTGGATTTCTTGGAATGTTAACACTTCTCTCTCTTCTTCTTGATATTCTAGTTGCCAGAAAAACTGATAAGCAGATACAGCTGGATCAAACAGTGGAAACTGGGGCTGAAATTCGACGGGAGGAGTGAGGACCTGGTTGAGAAAATTAAGGAGTCCCTTGCCCTGCTGAGGAAAAAGGTTTGGAACTTACTTTGTAGCTTCCTGTCTGAAGAGTGCAGCGTGCCCGCTGCAGATTGCCCAGCAGCCCACTCCTTCGTGTTCACTCACTGCGCTAGCGAGCGCTCCTGGTTTATTTATTTATTTATATTTATTGAAACTTACGAGAAAGGTTTATTTTGGTTCTTGGCTCTGGAGACTAAAAGTGGCTGATTTTTAGGCAAAACAGTAAACAGAAACTCTTCCTATGAGGTCTTTGGTAAAATGGAGAAACCCCAGCACTATGTGTTCTTGGAGGAGATGCCAGGTATTAACGTATCAGATTATGAAATGTATAACTTTCTTAAAAGGAAGGCTTAACAAATTTAGTCTTTGTTCCAAGTTGTAATTACAGGTTTCAGAGATAATAATTTAGCCCATAGTTCTCCTATTATCAGTGATACTAATTGACATTTATTCTTCCCGTAATGTTGGGAAGATTCTGTCCATATTTACTGAAGACCTGTTTTCTTTCCGGATGGTCTTCCGGTGAGGGAATTTCATAACCTGACCTTTGAAAACTGTCCTGAGGGTTTGAGTGAAATAGAATTTAGGGAGCACTTGGTGTACTGATTCCCCTTGATTTGGTGTTTAAAGTTCCGTGGTTCTCTGCTGACTCTTCTGGGTTGGACATCCTGCTTGGACATGGCCCACATTGTCCTCCAGGTTGCTTGCTTTGAGCAGCTGGGAGCCCTTCCCACCAGGGAGCCCAAAGCAAGGGGCTGTCCGTTGGTGCAGGCTTTGTCAGTCGTGGAAGGGGTCTGGTAAGGAGGGGTCGGACCTGGGCTTTTGAGGCCCTTCGTAGCATACAGGTGCTCTGTCTGCCACCTTAGACTCCCAGCTCTGTGAGACTCTCCTGTTTGTTTCTCTGTGTCCAGCGCCTAGCGCTGAGCATGGCACGTGGCAGGCATTTGGTAAGTGCTTTGTGGAGTGAGTGAGCTGAGGGCCCTGACTTCCTGAAAGCTGATTTTCACTTGCAGAGATAAATGTTTACTGGAAAGTACATTGTCAGATGAAGCCCAGTAGTTTTATCTTGCACTATAAAGGAAAGGGTGAGAGAGAAGGGAAGAGGGCTTCTTTTTCCATCATCTACTGGAGTGGAGTGCAGGGTGTGGGGGAGCTAAAGGGCAGGGCTCTGTGTGTGTGTGAAGGCAGGGGTCTTCCGCTGAGGTACACGTCACAGTTTCCTTTTCGTCTTTAAGATCTTGTGAAGTGGGTATTTCTGCCTTACTGGGTGCCTCTTGTCATTAGACTCTCGTTTGGGGGAATGCTTAAGTGTTGCCAGTGTATAGCAGCATTGCTGTTATTCGTTAGTAATCTGAGCCAGCAGTACCCGCGCTTTTGTATACTCTTCACTGAGAGTTTCATGCGTTAGTTTCTTCGCACAACTACGAAGGTGATGTTGCTGTGATCCTTCCTGTTTCATGGACGAGGAAACTAAGACCCAGAGGTTGGCTAAATGTCCCGCAGAAGCCACTAGCTGCTCGGTGGCAAGGCTTCGATTCCGCCCCGTCTGACTCCAGAGCTGGCTGCTGCTACTGACTGTCACTCTGGAAACTGTGAGATGTGGACAGCACGTTCCAGGTTTCAACCCAAATATTGTTGAGAGTTCTGTGTAGTCACTACCATTAAAATTGAATCCTGGATGTAAAATCTGTACTGAGTTTTGAAAGGGGCACTCGTCACTGGTTACTCACAAGGACTGGAGTTTGTTAAGGTGACATCCCTTACTCACTGTGACTTAAAAGCACATTTACCTATGGATTTACTTGTTCTTCTCTGAAAGAGTTGGCCTATGTTAGTGGAATACCTCATACGTGCTTTGCTCTCGTCAGTAGTCGGTGAGATTTTCCTAATGGGTCTCTACATTTGGAGCTTATGTATATTTAAGAGGTTAGAAGGTAAGTCTAGGAAACTGATACTCAGGAGACCCTGTTAATTTTCCCTCCCTCTGTTCCATTTTGGAGGGGCGGCTCTGTGTTTTGCGGTGATTACTTCACAAAAGCCCCTCGGAGGCTGAGGAAGGGCAGGCCCCTGCTCTGCGCCATGCAGGGCCTCCCGGGGCGGGCGGGCTGCTTTCCCTGCAAGTATCTATGATCGCCCTGTTCGCTGGGAGTGTCTGCCCTGGGCCGCCGGCCCTGCTGCCTTTCCTTATTGCATTGTACGTCTGTATCAAGTCAGTGTGAGAAGAAGCTGAAAAGCGTTGGTGTGGTCTGAGGGTGCCTCGTTTGAACTGGAGCTTGAATGCTGTGAGCATTGGGGTGACTCTTGATCTCTGCTTTTGAAAATAATTTTGCATTCATAATGTAGAAGTATACATACCAGAGATTCTTAGAACAAAAAATTCTGACTAGCTTGTAACTTCCTTGTAGTGGGCAGGGCTGGCTGAAATGAGAACTGCTGAGGAGAGGCAGATGGCTTGCGACGAGCTGTTCAGAAACGAGGAGGAGGAGTACAGCCTCTACGAAGCTGTAAAGTTTTTGATGCTGAACAGAGCCATTGAACTGTATGATGACAAAGAGAAGGGAAAGGACGTACCGCTGTTCTCTGTGCTCCTGTTTGCCCGGGACACATCAAATGACCCTGGGCAGCTGCTGAGGAACCACCTCAACCCGGTGGGGCACACCGGTGGCCTTGAACAGGTAAGCTGCGCTTTGGGGAGTGTACTATTTCAAAATGTAGCGGCTTTGATCATCGAGCGTGACCGATGTGCTAATAGATGTTTATAGTGAGGAATTCAGGAGCAGCTGAGTTGGGGGCTCTGGCCCAGGGTGTCGTGAGGTTGCCTGTGTATGATGTTCAGGGCCACGGTCACCTGAAATCTGGATTGGGGCTGCAGGATCCACTTTCATGGCCATGTGGCTCGGTACGACGCCTCAGTTCCTCATTAGTGGGAAGGTTCAGTTCCTCACCACGTGCGCCTCTCCAAGGGCTGCCCGGGTGTCCTCCTGACGGCCGGCATTTCTCCGAATGACCCAAGCAGAGAGCAAGGAAGACACCTTCGTGGTCTGATCTTCAGTAGCCACACTCTTAAGGAGAGAGGAATCCAGCGCTGTCTTTTCCAGTGAGGAGTGCCGAGGAATGGTGGAAATATTTTAGACTACCATTTTTATATCGTCTTGGGCTTTCCTGTGAAGGAGGGTAGATGGGATTAGTACCCTCGCCTCTGAGAGGCTACAAATAAGTGGAGCCCTTGGAAGGGCCATGTGCAGGGTCTCAGTTAATGTTAGTAGCTGGAGCTGCATGAACATAGAGGTGGAGTTAACCTCAGTCAGTAGAGCCTAGCCTTTTTTGGATCTTCACACACACGCTAAATTTGAAGTTTTATATGACACCAGTGCAATACCGTGCTTGAAGCCAATAGTTGAATCACCATACCTTGTACCACTTTGTTTGGTTTGTTCATTTCCCTAAAAGGTCTTAGCTGACTACTAAGATCAGTAGGGCTGTCCATCTGAAGCGCTACCTTTCTGCTTACACCGTGGACTCCTTTCCTAAAAGGCCAAGTGCCGGGGCAGACACGACGAGGACAAAGAGCTGAGCTGGGTCCTCTCTGAGCTACCCTGGTGCAACGAAGAGCAGAGGCTGACAGCCCCAGTGAGCTGGGCAGGATAAAGATTAGTTTAATGGGTTATCTTTGTTTATAATGTGGATGAACCGTAGTGAATACCTCATGGGAAAGGACCTGTGAGAGCATGGTTTGCATATTAGACTGCAGTTGGTCCTTTTTGAGACCCTAGAGTGGTGGGTTCATTTGTTTAAGCGAAATTTTAAAAAATGTAATTTACACACATACAATCAGGTTCACTCTTTGAAAGTTTTGCAACCACCATTGCAGTCTAATTTACTACCTCCGAAAGAAACCCCCAAACCATGAGCAGTCACTTCCTTCCTCCCAGTCCTAGCCAGCCACGAATCTGTGTTCTCTGTAGATTGCCTGCCCTGCACATTTCATATAAATAGAATTGTGTACTGTATAGTTTTTTGTGGCTGGCTTCTTTCATTGAGCCTAGTGCTTTAACAGCTCATCTGTTTTGCACCTTGTATTGGTGTCTTTCTGTTGACCAGTAAATGATGCCTCATTGTGTGGCCATATCATGTGGTATTTATTTAATAGTTTGATGGATGTGTGGGTTAGTTCTACTTTTCAGGTATGAATAATCCTGCTGCGCTCACTCACGGATAGTTTCGTGTGGATGTGTTTCTCTTGGATGTATGCAAAGAGTGCAGTTTCTGGGCATGTGGCGATTGTTCCTCAGCCTTTTGAGGAACTGCCAAACTGCTTAAAGCAGCTGCACTCAAGCAGGGGGTGAAGGGGCATGCCTATATTCCAGCCACGCAGGAAGCTGAGGTGGGAGGCTCCCAGGTTTGAGGCCAGCCTAGGCTACAGAGTGAGACCCTGTGTCAAAAATTAAAACAGCAGCACCATTTTACATCGTCACCAGCAGTGTGTCTGTGTTCCATTTCGCCTTCCTTTTTGATTATAGCCATTCTAGTGGGCGTGAAGTGGTATCTCACTGTGGTTTTGATTTGCATTTCTCTAATGATTTACGTTGCTGAGCATGTTCCCAGGTACTTATTGACCATCTGCGTATGATCTTTGGAGAAATGTCTTTGAAATCCTTTGCCCAGTTTGTAAACTGTATATTCTTTAGTTTTTTGTTTTTTTTTTGAGACAGGGTCTCACTGTGCAGTTCAGGCTGGCCTTAAACTCACTGTGTAGCCCAGGCTGGCCTCAAGCTCACAGTGATCCTTTTGCCTCAGTTTCCTGAGTGCTGGAATGACAAGCACGGGCCACCAGGCCTGGCCAATTTTTTTTAGTTGTTGAGTTGTAAATATTCCTTATAATTCTGGTTATAGGTTCCTTTTCAAACATCTGCTGCATTCTGGATTTTCTGCCTTTTAGTATAGAAAGAATTGGCAGTGGGCCCCAGGAAGGGAAGGTTGCAGCGTATCTGCGGCTGTGCAGTCTAGGATCCTGGCTGGAGCCTGGTGTTAGGCCCGTCTTTCCACGTGGCTTCCCTCAGCACGCGCGTTTGCTCTTCCTCCAGGTGGAGATGTTCCTCCTCGCCTATGCCGTGTGCCACACCATCCGGGTATACCGGCTGTCCAAGTACAACACTGAAGAGTTCATCACGGTCTATCCCACTGACCCACCCAGGGACTGGCCGGTGGTGACCCTCATCGCCGAGGACGACCGGCACTACAACATCCCCGTGAGGGTGTGCGAGGAGACGAGTCTGTGACACACGTCTGGACAGGCTGGCAACGTGGCACAGCCGCCCCACAGCTCCTGGCTGGGCCGCAGGCCCACAAGTCCATAGGAGCCATCTGTGAGATCCCTTGGGCCCTGGGGGCCGCGCTGGACTGGGGTGTTCTGAAGAATAGCTTTGGACAACAAGCAGTAACTCAGTCTTCGCCCTCCTCTGTGACGTGGCGTGTTTCAGTGGGGGCTCTAGGAATACTCATCGGAAGGTGCAAACTGCATTCCGTCCCCAGAGGCAATTAGTTTTGTATCAGAGGAACCTCATTTTGAAGAGGAATATGTTAATGTCTCAAATCAAAAGTCTGTCTAATGGTAAACTGGCTTTTTTAAAAGACTTTTGGTGGTGGCAGCAGTTCTCTGTAGCGATCTTCTATGTGATCTGCTGAACTGTAATTTTGGGATGTAGTCATAATATCCTTTGATAGTGTTGTCTTCAGAAAGGATGAATAGTAGTTTGGGTTTATATAATTCGCTTCTGTTTTAAGCAGATAGCCTCATAGGAGATTAACTGGGTCCAAAAGTGGGGTTATTTGAAGAATTTTTTTTTTTGGTGGTACTGGGGAGTGAACCTGGAACCTTCATACTGTGTTACATCTCCAGCCCTTTATTATTATTTTTTAAATGGGTCTCACTAAGTTAGCCAGGTTGGGCTGGAACCTGCAATCCTCCTGCCTCAGCCTCCCAGAGGGCTGGGACTATGGGTGTGTGCCATGATTCCCAGCCATTGAAGGGTTTGTTTTGAAGGCTAGCGGAGTTGCTGGCAGTGGCTCGGGACCTTAAACCTTCTTGCTCTGCTGACCACGGCAAGCTAGACCAGAGTCATGCTGGGAGTGCTGCTAGCAGGTGTACTCTAGTGTCGGGGTGTTGACTGTGCCAAAGCTTCCGAGGGTCACGCCTTTACGGTCACAGCCGAGCTGATGTCCACTCGTGTTTAGAGGAAACGAAGGCCTGGTGAGTTCAGCTCCCGACCACCGGCAGAGGTGAGGTCGGCTGGCCTCCGTCTTCCCGTGCCCTTTGCATACAGTGTTGAAGGTGGCGCCCACTGCCCGCTCCATGGGCTATCTGGTGGCGGGGGACGAGTAGCAGCAGGGTATCGGAGTCCCTGAGTCCCTGAAGCGGAGTCGTGAGGAAGCGTGAGTGCAGAGTGTGGCCGGGCCGCGTGGCCTGGGTGACCTGTGCGGCCTGCGCGGCAGCGGTCCCAGCCCTGAGCCGTGGGCTGCTCCGCTAGGGCCGGAGAAGGCAGCCCTGCGTGCCTGACCTGCTTGGGGTCGCGCTGTGCTCCAGGGACGCAGACCGCGGGCATCGTCCACAGGAACTGCGCCCTTCGTGTTTGAGCCTCAGTCGGCCCCTCCTCATTTGGCTCAGCACTTGCCGGGTCTGTGTTTCCCTGAAGTTCCAAGCTTATTTCATAATAAAATCTCTATTAACCTTATTTAACGTAGTTCTAAGCTATCTAACCCATTTTTGAGGGGAGAGACAAACCTTTCAAAATGAAGGTTTGGCTTATAATTAAGTCTTTGTTAAGAAAACTCAGGATGCACAAGCCGTTGTTACTGTAGCCTTCCGCCCATTATTACCTCATAGCACTGCTGCTCATGTTTTGTTGTTTATTGATGAGGCTGTGTGTTTGCACTGTGAAAGGCAGGGCTGCTTTGGGTAAGGAGGTACGGAGCAGCCACATTAATAATAATGACTTCCTGTTGGCCTTGACACCTCACTTAGACTTGTAACTGTACAACCGGAAATGCTCACTGTCTGTGCATTTTTGAGCTTTGTTTTAGTACTGAGGACTAGACCCAGAGCCTCCCACGTGCTAGGCAGGTGTTTTACCACTGAGCCCTTTTTGTTTTGAGACAGTATTATGTCCAGGCTGGCCTCGAACTTGTGATGCTCTCACCTGAGTGTCTCAGGTAACTAGGATTACAGCCTGTGCCTCCTCCCTGGGACTTTGAATGTTTTTTGAAGCACAGCTTCAAGTGTTTAGAGTGTATCTGGCAATAGGTATCTGTACCCCTGAAGAACATTGAATCTGACCATTGTTTCATATTCACTATTAATATTATGGCAATAATACTCCTTATCTACATTTTGAAGATATCCTAGGTGAACTTGAACTAGATTTCTGGCCAATTTAATTGTTTCTATATCACATTTTTTTCTTGTTCCCATGTATGATATTGTTAGAGTGTGCACGGAAATTGTGGTCGTAGCCCCCACATTGATAATTCAAAAGGGTGTGTTTATTTTAAACTACAGTTTGTCCATAGGCCTTACCAGACTCTGCCGTCAGACTGTCATCCAGCTGTAGTGGGGTCATAGCTTCAGAAAAGCTACGCTTTCAAAGAAACAGTACTTAAAGAAATAGAAAAGTCAGTCCCTATAAAAAATATTTATGTGTTGCAGCATGTGTCTTCAGTTGCCCTGGGTCTGAAGTCCTGTGCTGGTAAAGTGACATTAGCAGAACGGAAATTGATGGGGGTAAAGTGGACTCAGAAGGATGATCCGTGTAGAGCGATGTCCAAAATGGGAAGATGTTCCAAAAGAGGGTGCGGGAGTGGGAACTGCACCGGCTTACTTTCCATTCCTGAGTCTGTGGTGAGAGTCGAGAAGTTTTAGGCCCTTCTTAGTGGCAGAAAAATTATCTCCACCTTAAGCAGGCCTGACTTACACCCTTGAACTCACTCCAGGTACACTTAAACCTAAAATAATTGTCCTGTATGTGTTGCAGAGAATTAACATTGCTCTTCAGAGCATACTCACCTGCTCCTCACCCGAGCTACCTGTGCATGTACGGGTCCCACTGATTTCACTCCTGCCCTGGGACGAGTGCTGGCAGCCTTAGAGAACAAGCGGCAGATGGTCTCTAACTTAAATCACATGACCTTTGTATCCCCCTGCAATTTTACACCTTTTGAGGTAAAATCTCAGGCCACATCAGTCCATAGCAGCTCTGCTGGAAGACATACTTATAGACTCTATGTCCTTGGTCTTTGTTGCTGTTTTGAATTGGTAGGAAGCTCTGTTATTTTTCCCATCCCTGCATCCCAAAGTGCTACTTTACCGAAGAGCCCGTACTCTACTTTTGGGAAGTTTTCAAGAGCTTGGGAAATACAGTGTCACCTGTAGTGATTGAGGACTGCAGTTGTCTACTCGTAGGACTTCCGGAGGCTTTCTAGCTGTGTCATCTTTTGATGTTAAAATATAGTTTGATCATTTTTTCATCTCTGTTTCTTAAGCAGTACTTTGCAAGTACTCGCCTCAAAAGCCCAGGAAGTATTTTTAGAAACATAAACCCTTGGGGAATCTTGATTGTAGGTATGTATAAAATTAAATGCCTTTAGTTAAGATCTGTGGCTACTAAAAATAAAGGAAAAGAAAGCCATCAGTGTGTAAGGCCAGTCTGACATGTGTCTGAACATAGAATGCCCAAGTAGTTTAGCCAAGGCGGGGCGTGCTAACAGGTACTTGAAAAAGGGCCTCTAAGGAACTGTGAGGAGAAGTGGTAAACTAAAGGGGAACTGCTTGTAGGATAATTTTTAAAGTGTTTTAAATAGAACAACGGCTTTCTGACAAGCCTGTGCATAAGCTAGAAAGAATAAAACTCTGCATGGGAAGATTTATGTGCGTGCAGTCCACAAATTTCTGATTTTAGAGCTTAAGTCCCCTATCTAAGAGAGGACTGTTATCTGAAGTGTACTTCTTGGAAACTCGTGATCTCTTCGAAGGGCGTGGAGTGAACCGGGCACCAGAGTTGAGCTCCGAGAGGGTTCAGTGACTGTGAGTGAGAACAGATACCCGCTCACTAGTGTTCTTCTAATTCAGTTCATAAGTCAAGCACGAAAGCACCAAACTGAACTGCCTGGCTGCCCCCACCGCTGGCTTTGCCTGGGTGTGCTTGGCGGTGGGAGCGGGTGGTGTGACAGTGACCAGGAGCCAGGTCCATGCACTGCAGCCCTGCAGCTCTGAAGCTTGGGACCCAGCAGCAGTCCGGGGATGGAGGTGACTGTCCCAAATGATTGTGTTTTTTTCACAGTAAATTAAAATACTGGGTGGGGGGAATGAATTAGTAGGTGTATTTAAAAAGGGGCGACCATTAAGTGTGGAAACACTGTGCTGAAATGTCATCATACACTTTCTATGTCTTTATTCCCAGGCCGGAGAGCCACTTGTATATTTAAGCATTTTGAGTGCTCAGGAGTATTTAGTAGTGTTCCTGCAGGACTCTGGTTGGAGTTTTATCGCAATTTCATTGACTTCTTGGGTATAAACTTGGATCAGGAATGAAATTACCAAGATATAGGTCAATATGGGAAAGGACGGTGGCCTTAGAATACCACAGTTTCTTCTGGGCCTAGTGAAGCACTCTAGGAGGCTGAGGCAGGAGGATTATAAGTTCAGCCCCAGCCCGGGCAACTTAGCAACTTAAGGGAGACCCTCTCTCAGAATTTAAAAAGGGTTGGGACTGTTAGTGCAGTGGGAAAGCCCTGGTTTCAGTCCTCAGTACCTCAAAACAAAAACCCCAAATCAGTCTTGGTAGTCATTTTCCCAGTAACCAGGGGTGTTTGAGCTTCGTTTTGAACTTCAAAATTTTTTTGGTACTTAATTTTAGAAGCTTTCATTTATATATTGAAAAATGCCTTGATCCTTATTCACACAAATGGTGCTAAAAATACAGTACCCCTTCCAAGAAGCACAGCACTGCAGTTCGAGTGTGACTTCTGAGTATCTCAGTATTGCAACAAAGCCAAACTGTACTGAATGAATTTCCTTTTCATTGTTTTATAAAACTGGTGTTGCTCCCTGCACTTGGGTGGCTTCTGACTTCCTGTCTTGTGAATCTGAGAGGACAACAGCCCAGTTTCAGCACTTGGACTGGGGTGGTGGTGTTTTCCCCGGGGGACGGGGACGCTCCCTCAACGGAGAGCATGCGTGAGCCTGGCCGTGTCCTTCCCAGCTTGCTCAGCAGCTCCTCTGTTTACACTGGAAGATGAGATGTCAGCATTTGTCAAAATTGACGCCTGTTCTGAAAAACGGGCCCCTGAGGCCCCACGCGGCGTGCGGGCCCTTGTTCCTCGGCAGACGCGTCCAGACCCTGGCTCGCGGTGACAGTTTCCCGTCACTGCGGAGTCTCTCGTCTTCACTGTCAGAGGCCGGACCTGCTGGATTTTGCTCTTGAATCCCCTTCAGCGAGCCTGGTTACTAGCAACTAGAAAAACAAATAACTAAAAATAAACTGAGAAAATAAAACTAGGAGGCTGGCTGTGGTTTAATGCCTGCTTTTGAGGTCTTTGGCAGAGGGTGATTCAGTGTTGGCCTCCTGGCACCGCCGAGCAG